ATATTCGGCATTTATGCAAATTATTATACCGCATTTGGCAAATTTGGGAAACATAGGGATCTTGAAATTTACCTAGGACTAGAATAATGATGAAATCAATGTAAAAGGACTAAAATTGTTGTTTAAAGTTCCTCAAGAAGCTAATAGTATGAGAAATATGACCAAATCATTGTGAAAGTCCTTAAATATGCGGCAATTTTGGATTTATGCAAATTAGGCATATTTCCACCACTTGGATTTTTTTGGACTTTTAGTATGTCATTTTAGGGACCTTAAAGAATGCACAATTTGTTTGAGGTCAAACCTTATATTGCCTGGACTATGATCCCATGCATCTTCGGCCTTTCGCTGCCGTACGGCCAGCCAGCTCTTGGGCTGTTTCAACTGCGTGCTTGCCCTCATGTTCAAACCCACGGCACGGGTTGGTTTGAGCCTCGCTTTTTCCCCAAGGCCTCGGCGGTGCCCGCGGCGCGTTTCCAGGCGGGAGTGGGATCGGTGCCCGCCGGTCGGAGATTGGGTTTCTTGGAGTTTTGTCAACCGCCCTTTTTTGGTTTCTGAGCCCCAGGCCTCCACTCCTACTGTGCGGTTTCTGCTCAGTTCATTGACGTTCGAAAACGGTCCTCTCCACATTTGCTGGCCGGCCCGAGCCGGTACAAAGGCACCCGTCCGGCGGTCACCGAATGCGCGCGATGAGTCATTCTATAAATTTAGGGTCCAAGGGTACATATTTCCTGTCCCTGTTACCTTGGTACTTTGTAATTTACCATTCAAGTATCATTAATTAAGAATGACTTCAAACAATTATATATAACTATGTTGGGTTGGTAGTTTGCTTGTCATAGTCTTCGAGGATGACTGCATTAATTAAGGAATGCATCAGAATTATAAAATCATAGATGTCACGTGTAACAGGGACAGGAAAAAAAACGGACCCCTATTTATAGAACGACCCGCGTTTCTTTGTCTGTAGTTTCGCTACATATTCAATGCTCTAGAGGAATCTCTATACAATACCGTCACCGACACCACGAAGTAATACCCTAGTTCACTCCAGTGTTACTTCGTGAAAACCGATACTGACAAATTTTGGTTTCACGAAGTAACACTTGACGCGAACGGTTTTCGTTTTGACAAGGTTAAAACACTGTTAGGCTGCTTATGGCATGAAGGTATAGCTGGACGTGGCTCTAAACGAAATAACATCCTATGTGAACGATTTTCTCTTAGATTCAGACAGACGTGGCTTTGAAGAGGTTGCTCTTTTCGCTGATGGTTCCGCAGGGCAGAACAAAAAATTCTATTGTCGCATCATTTCGGCTTTTTTTTTCAAAAGACGGCTAAACCCACCCGACCCAACCCGAAAATGTAAATGCAAAACCGAAACCGACCCAACCCGACTGAAAAGATGGACAAACCGATCCGACCCGACCCGACCCGAAGTCGGTTTCGTGTCGGGTCGGTTTCGGTTTCGGGTCGGGTTTGCGCATCATTACTCTGTACATATTTTGTGCACAGGCGTATATTAATACCAGTAGAATTGACACCCCCCCCCCCCCTGATCCGCGCCTGTATAAATAACAATACGTCCTTGGAGTTTCTTCAACATATGTTTTATCTAAAAATACATGTTTTATGTTTTTTTGTGTCTGTTATAGGGTACAATAAAATTTTACTCTGAGCTAACGCAAGAATGGTTTATGGCTGCGTTGCGTCTTGCATCCCTTTGTTTGTTGAAGATATATGGCAAAATAGGCCGTCCCCAAGATCACGGTTTTATACCCAGTGTCGAAGCAGTCTCTTACGCTTAATAATACCTCAGCCACAAATTCTGCCTTGACCTTCCGGTAACTAGTTAAGTGTCATCAACTGCCGGTAATTGCTAAATGTTATGAGTAAACACCATGTACATGGGCGTCGCGAGGTGGGGGATAGGCCCCCCCCCCCCGGAAAAGCAAAAAGGAATAAAAAAGACGAGTGGCGAAGTCATATTGCTGTTAATTCAATGCACACTCAACAACATACATGGGCGTGCGCAGGGCTGTCAATGAGGGCGGGCAAATGTCCCCCGCCCACCCTCGAAATATTGATAAAAAATATTGAGAATATGCCAGATCAGAGAAAGTACAAAGGGTTTTGGGAAATAATGTGCTTTGCCCCCTCTCGAAATAAACCTGGCGACGCCCATGGTCATCTAAAACATAAAACGTTCGTCGAATTCCGGACGATGCATATCTTATCGTGTGTATAGTAATGACTTGGTCGAGTGGGCGATAGACCAGACCTTCCCGTACATTTGCCTGTCAATAAGGCAAAAAAAAGTCTCTGGTTTCTGGTATGGAGCTTGCCCCAAAAGTGGAGCTTGCCAAAAAAGTGGTGCGGCGACGCGGCTTTTTTTTTTTTTACCGTTTTTGTTCTTCTTCAATTGTCGGCTAATGACTGCAAATGGTGCCCGACTAAACTTAGTGCAAATATATGGAAGTCCAGAGAGGCCACATAAAGCTTATTCTCGATCGAAACCCCATCTAAAAACACGTTAAAATAATTTGTGCAGCAGCAGGATTCCAGTCAAACCAGTGAGTTTGGCGGTTTTGAGACATCATCTTTCATTGAAAACAATACACTTTTCATTTGCAGATGCGCATGGCTACGGCGACGCGCGCACATGCCAGAAACCAGAAAACAAAAAAACTTTGTTGGGACTAATACACCTGTTTTTTTTTTTTTTCTTTTTCAGGGCGGTCGAGCATGCAACATCCGTCTGTTGTTAGCAATCAAACCTGGTAGCGGATCAGACAGGAGGCACGCGTGTTCAAACATTGTTATATATTGTGTGACTATAGACATACTTTATACTACAAATTGTGGCATCATTGTAGAAATTTATCTTCTCGCGACTTTTGAAGTACACGTATAGCTACCCCATTGGCGGGAAACTATGGAGAGAAAAAAATGGCGTTCCTGAAAAGCGCAGTCCTGGTCTGTGACTGTGTTCCGATGCGTCTGTATGTCTGTTATCTTCTGTTGAAGATACAGAGGCTATACCTGCCGCAGCTCTGTAGCAAGACTCGTGCCATTATCGCTATAGGAACAGTCCAACCTCGATTCAACAATCAGTGTAGGTCTTGTGGCCTACGCATATACATGTTAGGTCTATGATCTATCTCATCACACTGTTTTATAAGAGAGCTTGCACAAAGCGTATTCAGGATGCACTCCTGTATTACAATTCCCATAGACACCAGTGCTAAATGCCAATACTTCAAAATTCTTTTAAAAATACTAAGAACTCTTACAGGTATTTATATAAGCTGAACATAAAAATGATGATCAACATGTCATCTTTCATTTTCTTTTCATTTTTTGGTGGGTTGCCCAGTGACTTTTCGAGAAATGCTCACCCAAAGAAAGTGACCCTTATTTTTCCCAAAGCGGAAAAAAAATAGCCATCTTGAAAAACGATCCCCCACAACATGGCAATATAGCGCTACTTTCGAGCCCAATTGCATTCAAAATGCTCAGAATTGGAAGCCCCCAGTCTGGGCCAGAGGTTCATTGTCATATCTCTTCAATTCCTCAATTGTATGGCACTTAGAACTCTCAAATACATAATATTGTGAGGGTAGAACTTTCATTCATGAGTTCGGTGGATGGGTTTAGGCCTATTTACCGGCGGGCGTGCACCCTTCACTGTGGGTACATCTTGGTTCCTTTTGTGATGAGCATGAGTAGAAAAAACCTGACCACATTGAGGTTTCTAAAGTCTGGACCACCTTGGCCTCAATCTCTCATCACCTCTGACCTCCACCCTCGCCGGCCTAATCTCATGCATCTTCGGCCTTTCGCTGCCGTTCGGCCGACCAGCTCTTGGGCTGTTTCAACTGCGTGCTTGCCCTCATGTTCAAAACCACGGCACGGGTTGGTTTGAGCCTCGCTTTTTCCCCAAGGCCTCGGCGGTGCCCGCGGCGCGTTTCCAGGCGGGAGTGGGATCGGTGCCCGCCGGTCGGAGATTGGGTTTCTCGGAGTTTTTGTCAACCGCCCTTTTTAGGTTTCTGAGCCCCAGCCCTCCACTCCTACTGTGCGGTTTCCGCTCCGTTCATTGACGTTCGAAAACGGTCCGCTCCACATTTGCTGGCCGGCCCGAGCCGGTACAAAGGCACCCGTCCGGCGGTCACCGAATGCGCGCGATGGGTCATTCTATTAATTTAGGGTCCAAAGTGTACATGTTTCCTGTCCCTGTTACCTTGGTACTTTGTAATTTACCATTCAAGTATCGTTAATTAAGAATGACTTCAAACAATTATATATAACTATGTTGGGTAGGTAGTTTGCTTGTCGTAGTCACTCTTCGAGGATGACTGCATTAATTAAGGAATGCATCAGAATTATAAAATCAGAGATGTCACGTGTAACAGGGACAGGAAAAAAACGGACCCCTATTTATAGAACGACCCGCATTTCTTTGTCTGTAGTTTCGCTACATATTCAATAAAGACATTAGGAATCTCTATACAATATCGTCACCGACACCACGAAGTAACACCTTAGTTCACTCCAGTGTTAATTCGTGAAAACCGCTACATAACACATTTTGGTTTCACGAAGTAACACTTGACGCGAACGATTTTCGTTTTGACAAAGTTAAAACACTGTTAGGCTGCTTATTGCATGAAGGTATAGCTGGACGTGGCTCTAACGAAATGGCACGATTTTCTCTTAGATTCAGACAATCGTGGCTTTGAAGAGGTTGCTCTTTTCGCTGATGGTTGCGCAGGGCAGAACAAGAAATACTATTGTCGTGTCAACGCTACTCAGGTCTGTGCAGCGAGCAAAACATTTAAAAAAGATATTAACGTACTTTTTTGAAAGTTCAAAATAATGGTCAAAACGAACATTTTCTACGAAAATCACTAAAGTTAAAAAAGCATGCAAGAGCAAATAATTAATTGATAATTCAATGTTTTGAAGAACGCGCGAGAAAAGAATGGTAACAACACAATGTATACATTGGAAATGTTCATGTTTATTCAAATGTCGTTATCACAGTAAAGTAGTAAAAGGAATCAAGATGACACTTTCTAAATCGATATTATTGTCTACTCACCCTCTCCACTCATGAAATTAGTAAAACCATTTGTTAATAATAAAACGAAAGAACGGACAATGAAAAGAGTCAAAGATTCCAATGCGGTCAAGCCCCATCACCCGCTTCATACCCCTAAAGGAAAAATCATCTATGTACGCAATGAAATGATTAATACAAACTTCTGAAAGTTTTTATTTTACTCAACAAAGTATGCACTAATTTTTTTTTTTTGGGGGGGGGGGCCAAAACAAATTTTGGTCCCTCAAAAATGGGTCCAAAAAATACGGCGTGGGGCAATTTTTAACCACTTTTGACAACTTTTAACTAAATTATTTTGAGAAAAAGATGGTGGTGTACGCCGTGCCTGCCTTTATTGCGACGTCACTTAAAAACAAAAAAAATGTTTTTTTTTTTGGGGGGGGGGGATCCCTTGCTTATGTGGAAATGTTGACACATTAGGGTTAGGTTTTTTTTTTTATTATTATATAATAGCTTATTAACACAATTATTTCTGTTCTGTGCATTCAGTAAACATCTTATATCTGTTTAGAAAGCACACAAAGGAATCTCTACTTGAAGAAATAGGAGTGATTATGTAAAAAGAAGCTGTTAACGTGTACGAAGCATATAACATTGTAATTTCTAGGCCTGATGTACGTAGCGTGTAGTTCGTGTCCATTGGTCTTGCTTAGTTCTGACAACAGCCCAACCACGTCTCATCTACTCTTCGTGAAGATAACCAAGAAGTTCCTCCATCAATTCACGCTCAGAGGGAGGCGGTGGTGGCACTATTACCAAAACCAAAACGAAAATAATTATAATAATAATATTAATAAGTTTGCTTGGCATATGTAAACAATTTCGTAGTCTGAGTATCGGACGTTCAAGTGTGCAGAACCAATACTTATACGAACGTCTGATGCATCCGTGCATGTACAGTTTATGCGGCCCGTGCGCTAGCCAATCGGAGCCTCTTTTATAGTTGCTACATGATTAAGAGAGAAATTCGGCCGAAGGTGTTGATTGGTCAACACGATAGGAGGCGCCCGCCGTATTGGAATTTGGAGGTCAAGACGCAGTGTTATTTTGCATAATCTGCACGCATAATATAGACACTTGTGGAGCATCCGTCTATTCCACAAACCACCAACTTCGTTGGGTAGGAAAGTAAACTTTTGGGCATAATCGGAGTTATTTCTACAAATTTCGAAAACCCGAAGGATATAGATTGGAATCATTCGCAATTGAACTCCAGAAGGAAAGAAATTTGTTTTCATGCATCCAAACTCAGTCATTAAAAAAAAGACTACTTTTGGTTCTAGTTACATGGAGAATCGTTGACAATGGTGTGGGAACTACGGACGTTTTCTTTAACGATACTTACCACACAGATTGTCATTACAAGTGTACTTCTTGGGGCACTTGCTACACGGGTCGCCTACCACGTATGGATTCTTGAAAAGCAAGCTTCCACTGTAACACACAAAACCCCAAAACAATCCATGGTCTATTAAAAGTTATACAATAAACACAATAAACAGACTGATAGTACACATGGTTAGATTGACCTCCCATTATTCTGACAGTGATTTTGCTCTTTTGCAATTATTATTCAGATCAGGAAAAAATTGTCTGCACTACAAAATACCGACTTGTTTTCGATATTTTTCAAATTCCTTTGGCAACAAATTCAACGCTACATCTTGTGCCTAGAGTTTAAAAAGCCTATCAGCCTGTGGAGTGACGTATTATGACAGAATAGGAACCTATAAGCATTCGTTTAAATAACCAACAGAAAGTCCTCCTAATCAGATTGGGACTAAGAAGGCTAAGATGTCCGTTCAGACTGAGGACGATTCGCGGGAAGTACCATGGAAACCCAAATTTGTCTTTTCTTGTAGGCATCTCATTCCGGAAATATCCAATGTTAGATACCTAACTAAATCACCTTCCAATATAATGACCATGCACTCAATGCACTCAATCTACTCACCCAGGCCCGTAGAAGCATGTCACGTACAGCTCCTTGGGTTCGTCTTCAGGACATTTCATCTTGGCGCATCCAATGGCCTCGGTAGTTGCCATTATAACCTGTGGAATAAGAAACCGGTTTCTATGGTTACCTATAATAATGGATCACATCGAGGCAAAAATAGAACATCAAGCGTTTGTGATATGATGGTCTATAACAAGGAAAACCATCCACTGCCAAATTAAATGGAAAGATTGATTAGTAAACGCATCTCACCTGGGTAAAGTCAGAGCAATCTTTGAAGGAGACTTTATCGTCGCATCTTTTGCTCTTGAAGGAGTATTCTTGTCCATGCTTAACCCACATCCAGGCAGGGACACCAGGGGATGCTTCGAAGTTTTCAATACTACCGGCCCAATTGTTTTGGCCAAGCCGCTTCCAAATTCCGGGGTCTTTGTTAATGAAGCGGTCGTTCTTATTTTGGCACATTTCCACCCAGCTGTTTGCTTTTGCTGCCAAAAAGTCGTCCCATCTCTGTGGAATTTAGTACAAGATTTGTGAATCTCATTATTATAAAAGTGACATTGATTGCCTTAAATTCCTGTTTACGTGGAAAGAAAAAATATCAAAGTTATTCGAGCGTGATGTTGACCGATACTTCAGTGGGTCAAACTGCGACTGCAGGCATCCATGTTTGCTAATTATTAGTATTTCATACTTTGAGTGCGCATGCGCGCATGCTAAATGAGCGGCTGAAACATACGTGTGATGCGGGCTGTTGTGCGCGTTCAGCGTTGCGCGTATTGTTCCAAAGAGCCAGCGCTACAGAGTTGGGTTCACTGATCTCTATATTTTCGTGAAGGGGTGGTTTGGAACAGAGAAATAAGTTTTCCACCGATTTTGTATTGAAATAATAGTTCAAATATATCAAATGACAAGGATCTGTATGTCAGTGATATAACAAAAATATTGAGTGGCTTTAAATTGTGAAATGGGAGGAATATTATCGCTCGGTAAAATCTGGACTTTTCCAGTTAACTCGGCTTCGCCTCGTGAGGTCCAAATTTTACCTTGCGTAAAAGTTCAAATTTTACCTTGCGATAATATTCTTCCCATTTCACTCTGAGCCACTCAATATTTGTATACTGGCAAGCTGTCATTCTGAAGAAATCACTGAAAGAAGGCCTTTCCAACGGTGCGTCAAAGGAGCTGCAATCGGCTCAGAGAGAACGTGTCTCGCATCGCCGAATAAAAAAACCGAACTACTAACGGAAATTGTCTTTAGACGCACCGTTGGAAAGGCATTCTTTCGTTGATTTCTTGAAAATCACAGCTTGCCAGTTACTTTTTGGAAAGCTGCAGATGATGGACTGTAGCTTTAATGAAAGACATTTTCTGACTCATTTTTGAGTAAGAAAATGGCTGGTACCCGCTGCTACACGCTGCTACAAACATATTATTCGAACCGGCCAGCCAAACCTGGCAAGCTCATTGGTCTAGTGTTTAAGATATATGAACTAGAAAGCAGGTGGTCGTGGGTGCGAATCCCGCCCATGCAAATTGTTATTTTTTCCAGGCAATTTCTCGGACAATACTGAGCACACAGTGCGTATCAACAGTGGCGCACCCAAGGCGGGGGGGGGGGGGGGGGCGCTTGAGCCTCCCAAGGGGTTGTCAATGTTTCTTTTGTAGTTCCACGACCTGACCTTGGTAATATTGGAGTGGTATAATAGGGTTATAAGTGGTGCCACCAACGTCAAAACATTCCCCCCCCCAAAAAAAAACCCAAAAAACCCACAAAAACCTTTTTTTTTCTGCGGCCAAAAGTTTTGGTCAAATTTTACCTTCTACAAATTTGAAAAAAAAAAAAAAAATGTGAGCCCCCTCAAAAAACAAACGCTTGGTGCACCACTGCTATATCAACACTACGTAATGTAAAGGGCAAAACCCAATATTGACCAATTATTGGCTCATTTATGTCACTAAAATGTATTAACGTCAAACTATTGGAGGATGTGCCATAGTGTGCATTTTTGATAAAGGAGTGTTTGTGGTTTTTCCACGTTCTATCCCTGGCCATTTGAGGTAGAAACATGATCGTCTAATCTTCCTAAGTCTTTTTAATATAATCGGTGGTGCCACACCCATGATTACTCACCACTTGCAACATGTTGGCAGCTGGAGGGTCTTCTGCGGAGGATCGTATCAAATTATGAGTCGAAACCATCACTTTTTTCTCATCTTCGGTAAAATGTTCCGCGTTGATGATGGAGAAGATTACACACAAGATGGTAACACCAAAGTATGCCATGATGATAACTTAAGGTTACACTAGCCTAGATCTGAATACATGTACCACAAGTGCTTTCGTAAGGCTCTTCCTTGCTCTATGGCCAGACACATAAGTGTCCCGTTAACAAACTGCAGCATGAATTGTATAGAACACGGAGATTTTCGAGGCTGACACTCTGAAAGCACAACGGACCGGGTTGGAAACGTTCACTGACTCCGAAGAATACACACATTCACTGCATGTTTACCATTAGGCTCTTTTCAATGCATTTATTCCGTTTCTTCTTGCATTTGTATGGCCTTTCACTTGTAATGCTGAGTTGAAAGGTTTATTCAAATGCAAAACTAATACGCCACAAATGGCAGAGATTTATTGGGGTTTGTACTGAGCCGAAGGGGAAGCTTTATTGTATACTGGGAAGAAAGGGCACAAAGTACAGCGCTCCTCTCGCATATATGTTATTTGCTTTGCTATTTTTTTATGTTGCATGGAAACTTTTACGAAGGAGCTTCCCCAGCAGACTTTTTGGACGATACATTTAATATTCTATAGCAAGTGACCTAGGGGCTCATGTTGACCCCAACCCACCCCCGGCCGGAAAAAAACACTACACTGGGATTCGAACCCCTACAAAGCATAAGCCGGCAGCCTTCCGATAACGTGACACATTTTAAGCACGAGGGGAATCCCGCCCCCCCCGCTGTTTTGGTGATTGTGTTCCCGTAATCTTAAGAACCCTTTTGAGATACTTATTAATACTATTCTTTATTCGGCCATGCATACAAACATACAATAAGCAATCTACAAAAATAAATAAAACTAAACAAAAGCAACCAAATTCAAGCTGGCGAGGATATAAAACACCGTGTCTGGAAAGCCTGTCGATCCTACCTTGAAACAGTGACATACAAAAATAAATTTAAAACGTAGAGAAAAAAAAAGACCACATTGAAATAAACATAAAAAGGATAACAGATTGAAAAGATTAAGGGTTAAAATATTGACAAAAAATACAAATTATCAAAAGCAAGAATAGTTTGTTTAAAAACATAGCAATGTGCAGATATAATTGATGTTTAAAAATGTGTATAATTGCTCTATGATCCATCTGATAACATGAACAACAACAAAACAACAAAACAACAAAACAACAACAACAGCAGCAGCAACAACAAAATGTAAAAAACAAATGGTAAGCAACCGAAAAAATATGAACATTCAAACGGGGGCATGGGCGTCGCGAGGGGGGGGGGGGCAAGGGGGGAACTTGCCCCCCCCCGGAAAATAAAAAAAAAAAAAAAAAAAAAAAAGGAAGAAAAAGAAAAGAAAAAAAAGAAAAGAAAAAGAGGCGCGAAGACAAAGTGGTGTAAATTTAATGAGTTGGGGGGGGGGGGCAAAATGTCCCTGCCCCCCTCTAAAACTGATAAATCGAGAATGTGTGGAGAAGTACAAGCATTTTTTGGCCAAAAAATTGTTTGCCCCCCTCTAGAAAAAATCCTGGCGACGCCCATGAACGGGGGTCGTTTCGTGTACTGTGGCAATCTTCAACCACGCGTCAATACATTTGTCCAAAATGCAACAAACTGGACTCATTACGTATGACGTTGAGGAATACACAGTGTATCACAAATGCACTCAAAAGCACATTTTTCCTGAAGAGTAACGACACTATGAAAAATCCTTACATTGCATTGCCTACCCCTCAAACTTGTACATCAGAAGAAGAGTAAACAAGTTTCAGCATTGCAAATTTTCAAACACTGAGCAAAACATTCAATACTTCTGTCACAGTTGAGCTTGGTATATAGACGCACCTCACCCCTCTCACCCATTATCTGGGCATGGCCCTTTAAACACCATTTGGCTATTACATGTATTCATTTAAAATTGTCACCTCGGTCTGCAATTTATTCATGTATTATTTCAGATTTTAATTAAGTGGATTTATACTTCGAAATAACTTATACTTCGCAACTAACTCATTACGTAATATTTTACCAACGTGACCCGGCCCGGTGCATAAATACGTCTTTAAGTAAGCGTCGTTCATCTTCTCCATATACACGTAATTTCAATTCTTCTTCTTAGCGTGTCCAAAAACATCAAATGTACTTCAGCCATTGTTGGACGCATTTTTTGGGCTATATCATTGTAGACTACAATTTCAATTCAATTCAATTCTCATTTGCTCATCATGCCAGCATGAAATTCTATTTATCGGTTTGCACATAATACAATACATTGAATAATTAAAACAGACGGTATACACTCATGTTAAAACATTCAATGTAAAAAATAAGCCTTATTTAATAATAGAAATGTTGGTTAAAATAAAGTTAAACCATTAAAACACACAGAGGGGACGAGGGAGGTGAGCAAGAGAGAACAGGGAGAGATAATAGAATCTGGGAGAAAATATCAAGAAGAAAGGCAAAGACTCGTACACACACAAACAAAGAAGTAATTATGTAACAGTATATAATACGAAAACATTAACGAGTATATGATTACGCATAACACGCACTTCGTGTTTACAAAAACACTCCCGTTTATACAAGATCATCATGGTTATTTTTAGCCCTTAAATGCCCACTTAATGTAGTAAGAAAATATCAAGCTTGTTATAAATGAAAACAATTTCATTTTATCTATAACCATACGAGCTGTAAAATAAGATGTGCTTATAGTCCATCTTCCATACAGTACAATCCTAAAGAGGCGTTACCCCCCCCCCAAGTTGATTTGTCTTTTGTGTAATTCAATTCAGCCAAGGCTGGATTATTTCCAATTTCACTGGCTATGGACATTTCTAAACGAGTTTCGTTTCCAATTTGGCTTCACAACTGGCTTTAGAATCACTAACCCTTCTATATTCAAACTTTACTGAAAAGTATAGACACATATTAAAGTTCTTCATAAAGCAACAAGTTGAGCTATATATGTTTGGCAAAAAGGCCTAGCCCCGAACAAAATAATGTGGGGCTTACCTCATGAGCTTGAAGTTACAGCCTGCAGTAAAGGCAATGTGAACACCTATTCATACCCATCATTTGCAATGCCACCTTTTACATCCTTGTTTCCCCCAGCCTCAACATCACCTGCAACATTACTTTCCATGTTTCCCTCTTCGCCACTTTCCATAGTTTCCATGGGGATCAGATTGCTACCTCGGTCGGTACTTTCACCAATCCCTACCTCTTGGCAAGCTTTCCCGAGGGTCTTCGCTGCTAGCGCTCTCCCATACCCCTCGCTGATAGACCGAGGTCCAAAGTTCACGTAAGTATGTTTAAGTTCCGTAGTTTGGTCGTTAATTTTCTGGTCGTCTTCGCTGCCGGCCTCTGCGTCTGCGTCCCGCCCTGCGCGTTCCACGCGCGCGCGCGGTGGACGGCGCGGACAGATTGGCGGAACACTCGATGAAGAAAAACTGCCAGGTTCGCTTGCAATCAAATCTTCCAATTTTTCTACTATTTGTCCGAAGGTGCAACGCATCTTGGACGAATCCTTCCAGCAATCCTGCATAATTTTCGATCTGGAAAAAATATAAAAACCCCTGTTTTTATTTATAAACTCCATCAGCAACTTTTTTTTTAACAGTGATGACCGTTGTTTTCCCACCAGTAGTTTGGAGGTACACTGTACGTTTTTTTCACTAAAAAGGAGAGAAGTAATTGTCAGACCGAATACAATTTACAAGGAATCTTAAACGCCGGGATTGAACTCGTCACCCTGATCTGATACTGTCTCAGACTTTTCTCGGAAGGAAATGTTATGATGTTAGGACGACGAATTGGTTTTGAATGGTTAAATTATGATGAAAATAAACATTCTTACATCTTTGTAGGGCAAAACTTGGGTGGACTCATCCGCCCACCCTCCTTGAGATACGGGTAGATATCCTTGTTGTTGATGTTAGGATAGGGCTTCTTTCCGCGGGAAAATATTTCCCACAGAAGTACACCGTACGACCACTGCCAGAAGAACAGCACATTCAAAATACATTATTTTTTAATTCGGAGAAAAAAAAGGGTGTTTGTAAACAAACTTTCTCGAGTGGCAAAGATCATTATGACTTAACAAAAAAGGATTTATTAATGAAAGGCCATGCAATATAATTTTGTTTAATGCAATCCTTGGAAACACACCTTTGTGTCCCATTTAACTCTATTCTTCGCTTTTTGTTTTGTCATTTTCAAGGATGTTTTGGTGTCCTTTTGGTTTTTATGCTGATGCGAATTTCCATATTCATGGGATTCAGTGTGATGTCATTTTAGGCAGAAACCTTAATGTTACAACTTCAGCACGAGAAGTTGCCAGGATGTTGGATATTTGTAATTTTTTTCCTGATGATTTATTTTGTTGTTGTGTCATTACACGGTAGTAAGCCGATGAACAAACTTTTCTCACAAATATTTTCAAATAAGCAGATTTTTGGGTTCACAATTTAAACAGAAAACTCCTCAACTGAACAGTGTCTTCCTGAAATGACACCACAGCAACAGCGCCCTCCTTCAAGTTTGTCCAGAAAAGCATTAAATGTTTAAACAAGGGTTAGTACGCTTTTCAATAATTGTATGAAAAAAATCTCAAATATTTTCATACATTAATTTTAAGAGAAGTAGAAAGTTTCACAAAATATGTTCCTAAGAAAATTCCCTTCATGAACCCTCTCATGTATCTTTTCCATGCCAGTTTAAAATAAGATTAAACTAAAAGAAAACATAAAATAATATTTTCCCCTGTAGTGGATCACTGGGCTCCATGCGCGAACTATAGTGAGGGCGCTTTTTGACCATTTTTAAGAGCCCCCGGCCCACAGACATCTGTGCCCCGGCCGTAGACGGAACACACCGCGTGCGCGTACCGCACTGGTTTGCGCACGGTACGAATGTTGCGCGAAGTACATGTACGCACGAAAATTTTTATCCTGACAGGGACATTCCAACCTGGAATGCGTCCACTATTTGGGTTACAAAAATATGTTCAATGGAAAGAGCATTTAAAAAGAAGAATATAAACGTCCACACAGCCGTCCTGTAAAAACTGTGCGTTTTCGTTTTAATCTTGCGAGAACCTTGCGAAAATGGGGGTCACCAATATTTTGTCACTGAAAAATCGAGCCGTTCAGTACTAGTTGTGATCCAGCCGAACAGTGCTTCGCATTTTGCGGACGTGTAAGAAACAACATTTGTGTA